ATTGTGCTATCAACTAAATTTTTGCGAAAAAATTAATTAAAAATAAACAAAGAAAAAACATATCGTAAAGCCTTGTAAAGATGCAGTGTCCCTAATTATGTGCCCACCACTTTATGTATGCATATACAATCGTGCAAAAATCGTTGGATCATGTGGTACATTTGTGCCATATTGGAGTACTCACAAAAAATAATTCTCTGTAATGCAGTTATTTTTGGAGTACTTCTTGAACTTTTTGGGTAAGTCGCTACTCTATTAACCCGTGGTAGTGCACATGGTAGTGCAGAGTCGAACCAGTCGGAAGCAGAATAGCGAAAAACTACGACAGAGGGCGCCCATATATCAGGCAAGTGACTACTTTAGTAACTCCCGGTAGTGCAGAGAGTACCGATGGTGACTACCGCCTAGGACATTGCCTTGTAAAAGTAATCGATGAAATACACTGCAAGTGGTCGGTCGGTAATTGACGGTGTTTATGAGGTAGCTACCGATTCATCAGTCCTGTAGTCGCTCCCCCGTACTGCAGGGTATTTATCTACACACATACATATGTGTGTTACATATGCATATGTCCATTGCTTATCACCTGCTATGCTCTTGTGTCACTTTCATTTCTTCTCCCAAACTCTTTGACCAGACTTCTATCTATGCAAATAAAAATGTGGTGACCCGAAACACACCGAATTCTATATAGTCGTGTCTAAAATAACAACAATTTATTACTAACCCAAATGGCTTAAAAAAGCCTTGCTGTTGTATTGGTGGTGGTGGTGGTGCTCTTGTTGCTTACTTAAAGCATTCCATCACTTGCTGACATACGTGTCACACTGACGTGCGCGCCTGTGGATCTATCTATGGATGTGGACATTTTCGTGCCGATACAATTTCTACACTTTCATCTCTATTGCCATTTTTTGGTATTTGAAAAATTCCCAAGAATTTATGTATTTCTTTTCACCTTACCAGCTTTTTTTTCGTTTGTTGGTATCCGTCTCCTTGCTGTTGCAAGCTCACGTTTTACCTTCATGTAGTGCCATTACTAACACATACACTTAAGTACATGTTTTCTTTTTTTTTTTGTATATTGCTACTTGCTTTCAAGCAATATTGAATCTTTTTTTCTTTTATTAAGTTTTTTATTTGCATTTCATATTAGACTTTTTTCTACGTACTACTTGTAATTTCTGTGTATTTGGTGCTTGAAGTACGTTTCCAGGGTTACACCAGCTTACAACGTGCAAATTGCAGATTACTTGTACGTACGTATGTACAAGTACACGTTACTGTGAAATGAAATTGCTTCGAATTGAATATTCAAAAGGAGGTGGGTGTTTAGCAGGCAGAATATGCGGCGAACATTTTTAAAGAAATACAAAGTTGAATAATTTAGATATTCCTGGATGCGAAGCTGTGTGTGACTAAAGTGGGCAAGATTTTCTAAAACAGAAGCAGGTTAAACTGAAACTTTTTGTATTCATAAATTTAATAATTGAAATCGAAACAATTAGAAAACCCACAAGTGGAAGAGATTTAAATTTAATTAATTACACTGATGGGAAAATCTCTAAAATTTAAATATCGCATAGAACGCAGAGACACGTAAATTTCGTTTTGAGTCGTAGATAAGGGACGTACTGCTTTTCTCTATCAAATCGTTTTCAGTTAAGCTGTTAATAGAGAAAATCTAAAAATTACTGAATTTATGAATGGTAAAATGAGAATGCGTAATGATTTTTTTTTTTTGTATGAAATATGAGCAGAAGAATGTCATTCATACGCCATCTACGAGTATGGTCATTGCGATTTTTGTTTCACCATTCCATTATGGTCTCAATGCCGGTGTTTTTGGTCAAAATTACCATTTTTGCATGTGTTAAAATCACTCTAACATATAGAAACGGTAGGTATGTGTTTATAAAAAGTCACAATGTACACCCAGAAAAAAATTCTTTGATGCTAGGAGAAAAGTATATTATTCTAAGGAAATATTACCTTGAAATGGCTCCAATGACATGGCTGCCTTAATATGAGTAAAAGATTTGACTCAGTTTAAGGAAAACATAATTCCGCTCGTGAAAGAAATAAGTATATCATTTTGCTCGCGGCGCTCAAACAGCGGCAATGGCCGACAAGGCAAAGCGCTGGAGTGCTAGTCGAGAGATGCACGGTTCGAGTCCCAGAGCAGGACATTTCTTTTTTAATATTTTGTTTTTAAATTGCATTTAAAAAAGCAAATTTATCTAATTTATTTTTTGTAATATTATTTGAGTATTTAGGTTTTTCCATATATGAAATTAATTTTACAAATTTGTAATTTATATTTAAATTGAAATAATTGTCTTACCTTACTCTAACCACCTCCAACCGGATTCGAACCTGCGATCTCAGAACCTAAAGCAGTAGTATTCACGCGACGCCACAGCCGACATTTGTCAGGAAAGCAATTAACTTTGTCTTAACAGCACTGACAAAATTCAAAATTATTTAAGGAAATTATTACTTATATTGAGTAAATTTACTTCTTCAAATTAATGACGCCTTATTTTTAATCGAGGGAAAAATTTCTGAAATTCAGTCAATTTTTCGTAATATTAAGGAAAAAACAATAACTCGAAAATGAGGATAGTGTTTTCTTGATTTAAGGAAATGATTTTTTCTGAGTGTAGTAAACAATCAGGAGTACTGAAATGTCACCAACATGTGTAAATTTAAGAGCCTCGATCCTCCTGTCTGTAGGGAACTATTTAACATTTGCAGTTGAAAGCTCAATAAAGAGAGAACACTTTTATCTTTCGGTAGGAAAATTAATTTAAATTAGTATAATTTGGCAACACTTTTCAAAAAATTGGATATTTTTTCTTTCATACGAATAGTAAAAAAGCTGCATTCAAACTTTTTTAAAAAAGCTACAAATAAAAAAGTGACCCCTTTGGATCCCTCGATCGTCAGTGGTTAACACCCTATTTTAGAGTTTTATTTAACAACACCCTATCTTCGGTTGGAGAGCGCCCTATCTCTCAGAATTCATTTCAAAAACGCCTAATCTCAAATGAAAATATGCTGAGATGGCGAGTTTTTGAATCGGCCGCTGAGATAGGGCGTTTTTGAACCGCATTCTGAGAGGGGGTATTCTTCAATCAAATTCTGAAGTAGTGCATTCACAACTTTACTTATCAATAGATTTGCTTTGTTAGTAGCTTGATGTTTTTGTAAAGGAGTAGGCTTTATTAAACAAAAAAGAAACTAATATTCTCCTCCTTTTTTTGAAGTCGGTTAATAAGAAATTTTTAAGAAAAAGAAACAAAACCGATTTCAAATCTCATATATAAATTCAAGATAACCGTTAATTTATTCATAATCCTAAGATCGTATCTAAATCGTCGATTAACGTGGTCCAAAAATTATACGGTAACATACATAAACAAATTATAAAATATCTATTAATTTTTTTAATTTATTTTTTATTTTTTTTTAATTCTGCCGAGGCGCGACCGCTGTTAAGGAAAAGTCTTTTTTCTATATTTTTTTGCGATGTTGCTTTGACAAGGGCCGCAACCCTGGTCTTGCGGAGTGGAAGCGCGCACTGCTTACCATTACATCACATTACACTTGTATACCCGATATATTAATATGCTTTCCTAACAAAAAAAGTTTAAGAAAACTTTATTTTAAAAATTTTGAGGCGAAGTTTGCCACTTCGTTAAAACGTAGAATAGAGATAATAGGGTAAATGAAATGTTTTTAGATGGGTGTTAAATACGGTGATTCAATCGGATTTTCCAAACCGGTTGCCACGAGTTTTTTTTTTTTTTTGGATATGCATAGATGGTTTTTTTTGAAATCTTGATTCTTCAGATATGGAGTAAACCGTATTTTTATCGAACAAAGCGGGTTTTTTCATGTCATGCAATTCCGGACTTCTCAATGTGTAACCAATTAATTGTTCCCAAATTATATCCTAGATTATTTAGGGATGAACAGTATATCATGTTTGATTCCAATAAATGAATTTTTGACGCTTCAACGTTTTCTACGTTTTTGACGGAGCTTCTCTTCCAATTCGTGTTCTGCTTCTGGATATTGCGATCGAAGTGAAGACACCTACATGCTTACTCCAGCTGCTAAGAGCATTTTGAATGGCAGAAGCACACTCGCAGGTTTGGCAAAGGACCTCCGTGGCGCGACCGCTAGGCCCATCTAAGCCCTCGGCTGCGGCGACAAGAGCCCTAAATACTCAAATCCGAAAGGGGAGTCAACACGTATGTAGACAGTTGACTCGCGAGTCAGAGCCACTGTCTATGGTGCCTATAACAATCGTAAATAATTTACAAAGGCATTAAGTAATATATTTTGATGGGTGTGGAAATTTCAATAAATATGTGTTGGTAACATGTGAAGGGTGCAAAACCCTTGCCGATGGTCGAATCCAAGAAATAATTAACCAAAATCAGAAAAAAATTCATGCAATTCAAATTTGTGTATTTTTGTATCAAAACTGGCATGGTACAACATACATATATAATTTCATATTTATTTTCCCACTTATTTGAAAAATAAGACCAAACATGAATTTTTCACTGATGTTTGTTTGTTTTACTCCTAATCTAAAAAGAACGTACTTTGCTTTTCTCTTTTCTAAATAAAAGCAATTTTTACTGTTAATAGTTTTATTTTCACTGTACGAAAACTAATCGGGTTTCATGTTGTAAGTATTTGTTTTGGAACTAAGATAATAAATTTCACTATTAAAACACCATCAAATAACATTTATGCTCGCTGACTCAAAATCGACCCAGCCTAATGTACTTAATATATAGGTTATGTTTTTACTTGCACATTTTGTTGTATATTTTATTTGCGTTTGATTTAAAATTTAAATGATGTATGAAATACATACGCGTATTTTAAGCACATATGTACGTACGTACGTACGTGTGTTGTGGTTTTATTTCATTTCACAGCGTTGTTTTTTTTTCTCGTTTTCATTGTCTATCTTTCAGATTTCCATCGAATTTCCTGTCTTTTTGTGACTGACATCAGCGTACCGGAAATTGTAGATTTTCGCGATAACGTCACGCTATCCTGTAGTTATGATATGAGCGGACATACGCTGAATTCTGTGAAATGGTACAAGGATAAAATGGAATTTTTCAGGTAAGTTACAGTTGCACACGCAAACGAATTGCATGAGGGTTTTAAATACGTCTATGAAGTGATTGAAATCAGCAGAAACTGTGTTAAACTTCGGCGCAATTCTTTATTTTTTTTTTGCTATTCGCAAACTCGAGCGTTGGCCATGTTGTATACTTAACCTGAAATTTAACCTGAAATTTCGCAAAGCATTTATTACGAAATCAGAGGAAACTATTTATGAGCTTGTGAAAGCTGAATGTAAACAAAAAACATCGGCTATGCAGCATTCGCAGATGTGTCTCTACATATTTACTCAACGCACGTATGTATGTATGTATGTAGCGTCAATAATTTGCAGCTTTTTGTGCAACAATTTGTATGCGCCAAAATTGCAAACCTTTTGCAGGCCCCGGTCAGTCGGAAATCATTTCTACAACAGAGAGTTAACGTGAAATGTTAAATTGAATGAAAGAATTAATTGCGGCATGCAGACTACGAAATGCCTGTGGCAAACCGACAACAACAACAAGTATGCAAACAAAACAAGCTCATAGCAAAGCAGTGGCAGGGGGTGTGGGAAAAAGAGCACAGCATGAATGGAATGCCTATCTATCTATCTATCTATCTTTATAGGTAGTGGTCAGAGGAAGATATGTGCGCATTATTTTTGTTTCCGCCGCTTCTACTTCACACACACAAAATTTCCAATTATAATTTGTTGCAGATTTTGGCATGTGCGCTGCCCAGCAGCTAGCTGCTGTCCATTTTGCGCTATACGCTTAACTGCACAAACATAAGCTTACCATATTTCATTGTACACATACGGGCATAAATTTTGAATTGTCATTCGGAGACCGCGTTTGACATGGACATCTCAATTTGGTTGATATTTTTCAGCTATTTCGCTTTTACTTGCAGCAACTGCATTCGATTTTTTGAAACTTAAGAATGCACAAACCCCGTGCATAAGAGCGCCTACATCGAGAGTTGGTACAGTTGGTGAATGTTCCTCGGAGAGCGCCGTTTATGGCGTATCAGGGAGTTGTTTGATTTAGATTTTATCTTCAGGCGTGTCTGAGAAGAGGCGCCGTTTCCAGAAAATTTATATTCAGGTGCTCTCTATAGTAGCATTCAAACAGGAATTATTTACAGCAAATAATGCTTGTTCGCTGATGAGGATCATTGCAGGTCTCGCCTTTGTAACAAGCTCATATCACAGCAGTGGTATCCGCAATGTACCTGGTAGGGCAATTCAAGTGCTACCCTGTAAAAATGTCATATATTTTATGTACAAACTACTTCTCTTTAATTAAAAAAAAAAAAAAAAATTATTGACAAATGAATGGTTTTTAGTTTGGCCACCCTTGGCTTAAATTATGGGATTCAAATGGTCAGTGAAGGCATTGCACGATAACTGCAAAGTGTTCTGTGGTATTTTTGTCTATTCGACATTGCTTAAGATGCTCCACGCTCTACTTTTTTCCAAGCCAAAATTTATCTGGCAGAAGGTCAGCTTAAAACTGGAACATTCGAATGGCCACTAAAACCAAATGAAGCCGGTAGTGATGGATTCGGCAGCAAAAATGGCTGATTACGCTTTTCGCAGTTGTGTATGTTTGCATCTTGGGGTCAAAATAAATTAACGGATATATCGATAAATTATTTTAGTGGCAATAATGAAGCCTTAACCGCTTAGTCTCCAAATCACCGGTAATTAAAAATATCATCTTATAATAATAATACTACCAATTATATACATAGGTATACTTAACAACTTCACTTTTCACTTTGCGCAGGTATTCGCCAATGATGCATCCAGTGTATATGAAATTTCCCGTCACTGGCATCCAAGTGCAGGATGGAAAATATTTCTGTAATGAATCTACCTGCCGCGTTGAGCTGAGTCTGCTAGGCGCCAAATCGACTGGAGCGTACAAATGTGAGGTTTCTGGTGATGCGCCACACTTCCAATTGGCGGCGAAGGCTGACAATATGACTGTGGCAGGTAAGCAAACACCTACACACACACACACACACACAAAAAGCTAACATTACATACATAAATACTCGCACAAAACAATAAGAAAACGCACTAGAAAACTTTACCATCCATCTAACGACAGAAAATATGAAAGTAGCAAAATCAGGGCGAAAAATCACGCAAGAAATTCGATGAAGCCATCGAGCTGTAGATTTTTCCGTCGCTAAGAAGTCTTAGATGCACTTTTACGAAATCCACTTCTGCACGCACTGCTACTCAACGCAAAATTGCTACATAAAAATTTATGTTTTTTTCTCGTTTGCACGCATTTACAGCGCTACCTCAGAGTGACCCATTGATCGATAGTTTCAATTCAATGTATCGCATGGAGGAATTGCTCAGCGCAACATGCACCTCGGACTATTCGAGTTTGCCGACGCGGCTGACATGGTACATAAATGGCGAGCAGGTGAGTGCGAGAGTGCAGATTGAGGGTATTCAACAAGTAGACAAAAGCACGCAAGCGATTTAGTTGTTAAATGCGGTGCAACATGGAGAACGCGTAGTTTAATGCTATTTTTATATATATAAATGATTGTTGTTACATTTCATGTCTTCTTAGCAAAGAATTTGTTTCTGTTTTCTTTAGCACTTATTAAAGTTTGTATCTTATGTTTATTTGCCCCTAAACAGGCTTCTCTGGGCGAACTACAGCCCAGCATTGATACCAGCATACCGGCGCACGATTATATTCTGCGTCGTCAAAAGCTGCAGGTGCGCTTTTATTTGAGTGGTCCACGCTTTTATCATGCAGGTAAAATTCTGGAATTGAAGTGTGTGGCGGAAATTGAAAATTTCCCGGAACTGAAGCGTGAAACCTCGTTGAATGCAGCACTCATACACTATGACAATTTGAACAATCAGATGCTGATACATGCGGGCAGCGGAGCGAATGGTGCTGCGAGCGGTAAGTAGCTTACCAAGCGGATGTGTGAAGTTTATGAAAGTGATTTTAAGGAAATGCAATTGAATACTTTTGTGACAGACAGTTGGCTGTTTGTAACATGCATGTATAAGAAAATTGAAAGTTCATACGTATGGTATAAAAAAATAAATTGAAAATATTTGTGTGATTGCCTTCTTTTCTCAAAACTAGCTTTTATACCTAAATCTTGGTTTTTCACCTTGGTATAACGAGCTCTTTTACACTGGTGTAGAAAATTTAAATCCAAAACCGTACCAAAAACAGTCTAACCCTGACTACGTGTGGGAGGGTTGCCACATGCTTAAAAACTGTAATTCAATTTTAATTAAAGGAATTTAGTAAGTGAATAAGGTATCACTATATGGGTGCCAGGCAAAAGAAGTTTAAGAAGGTAGTAGTTTGAAAATATTTTGAAGAGGGTTGCCACCTATTTTAGAAACCAAACTAAAGATTTTATAACCAAGTTATATGAAATATTAAAAACGGATGTGAAATGAAAGAAACTTAAGAAATATTTACTTTGACAATTTAGAAAATTTGTGATTTGTTTGAGGATTGCCCCTGTTTAAAAGGTTAAATTAAAATTATCTAATAAATTAAATGAATTACTAAACGATGCTTATCAGTGGAAATGGGTTTAAAATCCTTTATTTCAAAACCGTTTTTAAGAGAGTTGCCACCTGTTTTAAGAGTCGTATTTAGTTTAATTATGAATATGTTACATGAAATTTTAAAATATGGGTATCAAACGAACGAATGTTAAGATATATTTAAATTGAGAATTTAGAATTTTTAAAGGCATCAGCATAGGGCTGCAACCTGTTGGAAAAATTCAATTCATTATTTATTTAGTATGTTAAAGGGATTTTCAAAAGATGGGTATCAATCGAAATGGGTTTGAAAATAATTCATTTCTGTACTGTATTTAGGAGAGTTTCGATGTGCTTAAAAAATTAAATTTAACTTACGAGTAATTCATCAGTTAGTGGAAATATGTTTTACAATTCCAGACGATAAAAAGATTTTAAAATACTCTTGAAGGGGCCACCATCTGTTTGAAAGTCGAATCGAGATGTCTATCACTCAGAAATGGTTTAGATGAATCATTGGGAATATTTTTTGAGGTTTTTGAATAGCGTTTCACCTGTTTAAAAAATTCAATTCAATTCTGGCATTTTAACGTCATATGGGATCACAAATTTTTTTATATTCTTTGTACAAAATTGGAAACACGTATATATATGTATATGTATATGGTTTTTATCATAGAATAAATTACATATATAAATAAAAGTAAGAACAATTTTTCTATGAAACAGACAAATACATGGTAAAAACTCATTAATATGTGGACATCGTATAGTTATTACCAACACTATAGTATGCATGTTGGTTTTAATGTGGCGACATAGATAGATTTGCATACTGCATATAGCGCTACAACAGTTAAAATACGAATATAAAATCCAGTCAAATTTAGCCTTTCTAACTCATTTATTCCAAGTCAATAGTTTGACTAAACCATGATTTTATTGAAAATTCTTATATTCCATACTTGAAATTCCATTTTAATAGCAATCCTTTTTTTTCCTATTACATTCTTTCAATGCTGCAGCCCTTACTCATCACAACACCCGCAAAGATATTTCCATTCGTTTTGTGATATGTTTACTTCTCATCAGCGTGCTGCCAATTTTATGATCTGCCTGCAGTGCAGCCGCTAACTACGGAACAGAACAAAGCAACACGAAGCAGCAAGGGCAGATGGCAAAGCCGGTTAGAGCTGTGGCCGTTTGGCAAATGGGCAAAGCGTCGCAGACGAGAGCCACAAAAGCAACTACTATATCACATTAGTTAGTTAGAGGTAACCAATTATGATGTAAATAAAAGAAAACGAATACTATTACTTAAATATGTAGCGAAAAAAAAAAACAAAAACCAAATTAAAGATATTAAGCTTAAAATTTAAATTAATGATATAGCAGAAGTGAGAAAGAAAAATAAAATAAAAGTACATACATATATACATAAAAAATCACCAGAACAGAGCTTTGCTCGCGTATATATGTATGTATGTTTGTACATTCGTAAAATAATTTCAAATAAATATGTAAGTACCCGTACATGGCAAAGTAGTAAAAAGCGATGTTCTGTGTCATTATTATTTGTATGAAAGAAGAAACTTCAACATTCGCTAATAATTGCAGCACAATTACCAGTTTTGTGTCATAAAACCAATTGAGTTGGCAAGGAAATCAAATGAAATTTTCGCTGGCTGGTAACTTCAGAATGAAAATTAAATTTCAGGACGATTAGTTACTCATACGCATGGGCGTACTTAAAGTACGCAAACGCGGGGTTAGTCTTATACATATGTATATTTAGCAGTATTCTTTATTTAAATAAAGTTTTAAGGTATTATGCCTTTATTTAAAAAAGAAATAAATAAAAATTTAGCTATGCTATACATTCAGGTAATACGTCACTACGTTATGAAACGTTATCACTAATAACTAACCCAAAATTTAATCATCTCAACATAACTCTTCACTTAATTTTAATTGCGTAAATTTACAAATAAATATGCACACATACATACTAGGGAGATTTGTTTTGCGACTATTGTTTTTTTTTTACTCCTACCTAGATATTTTGTGGAAAATACCATGCGAAAAAAACTCGCTAAAAATTTGAATACACGTTGATCAACGCAAAACCCTATATCTCGAGAAATGTCCATATTAGCGTTTTGATGGTCTGAAACTTTTTTGTAGAAAATACAAATTACATTTTTTCTGTACCTATTGTTATTTAGGGGCCTTGGTTACCCGTACTAGCTCGTTGGTGGCAGTTTAAAGTTTTGAAAAAAAAATCAAAGTTTACGTGTATTTTATATGGGAAATCTTTGCATGCCCCGGGCGAGTATTTAGTGTTAGTATTAAGGGTTCAAGTTTTTAGGGAGTTTCCACAAAATTTCGAGGTAGGAGTGAAAAGAAACAATAAACGCAAAAAAACACCCTAAACATACATACAAATGATGTAAATATACATATATATATTTTTGTAAAGGCAATAAATGTTTTTTATGAGAAAAAAATTTAATATTTCCGGCTCACAAAGACGAGCGAGTGTAAATTATTTATATATGTACATTTTTAATTTTCTATCTTATTGCTGTTATTTTTCAGTAACTCTTTTATTGTTTTGAGTTAACCGTCATCCAAAGTTAGGGAAAAATTTCACCCACTTTGAATTTAATGTTACTGTAACTTCTTTATCGACTGCTGAGTGGAAGATCGACCTCGCTCCGCAGCCAGTTCGTAAACGCCCTATCTCAAAAAAAAAAATTCAGGAACGTTTCTATTGAAGAACACCCTATCTCACTTCAATATGTATTGAAAATGTGCTGATTGCGCGTTTGAATTGGCAGCTGAGATAGGCTGTTTTTTAATCGATTTCTTAGATAGGGTGTTCTTCAACCAAATTCTGAAATACCACGTTATATCCCGTAGGGGATTTTCGATGCCCACAGCTAGTTTGGTGGGTGGCATATTCTTCCAAAATGTAAGGAGAAATTCTTTTTTTCTTAAATTTGGTATTTTTATATGTAGGAACTTAAATTGCATTTTATAGTTACATTTATCGATATTATAGTTATCTACATTTTGTTCTATATTTGTCTTAGCGATATCGATTTAACCATATTAGAATGCTTATCGACTTGTCTATATACAAACGATTACTTTTAACTTTGGTTAATTTTGACGTTAAATAATTTGAGATATGGCAACAGCAAATTCGTACCAGAAATTGGCTGTCATTTTCTCAGAGCTGGAGTTATTGGGCTCTGTTTTCCTCGAAGGTTTACTTAAGGAAAAACATCAATCCGATGACTACGCCTCGAGCTGATGCATATCGGTGACAAGTGAGTTGAATTAATTAACTAATTTTATTCTGACCTCTTTTCCATCGGCCAAAGACACCAATTTTATTTTAGTTGCGGAATTTGTTAAAAAAAGTTAATTTTTTCAAATAAGTATAATAAACTGAGTGAAATGCATTCTTTTTATTATTATTTTATATTTGAAACTTCGCGTATTTTATTGTTACTTGAAGTTAAAAATTCTAAAATTTTCGACATATTTAAGGAGGCAAAATTAAAAAAAAAAAAAAAAAATTGTCAAATCGTTTCATGACTACCCAAAGTTAGGCTTCAAAACAAAATTATATTTACATACATACTTTATTCTGCACAAAATGATATTTGCAAAATATTTCTTAACAAACTAACAGTTAAAATTGTACTCACTCACAAAAACACACATTTAAAATATAAATGTAAAAAAATAAATTAAATAATCATTTTGCACCAGTAATTTATAGGTTCCAAAACAAAGTTGAAGAAAATAAAAAAAAATTCGAGCACAAAAACTGCGTTCGGTGAAGCATTTTGAAACTTAAAATTTGAGTGTGCTGGAATAAAAAAATTCAATTTGTGTTGGCTCTCCTTCAGTACATATCGCTCGTTTATTTCAATATTGTCATAATCCAAAAATTACAAATATTGAGTTAAGTACGCAGAAATTACCGCAACTTATTCTTCGATGTCGCGAAAAAAAATCCATACATGTATCGATTACCAGTAGCCCACTAGAACAAAATATGTACATACACAAATTCAAATATTTAATGCCGTTTTTCTCGAGTTTATTTTTCTTGAGTCATGGCACTATTGAAGTAAATGAGCTATATGTATCTATGTGTGTGAACATGCATGTGTATTTATATAAATGTATGTATGTACATTAGGGCGTGTTGATTTGAATGGATGAAAAAAAAAGTAAAAATCGTATAGCAAAAACGTAATCTACATTAAATTCTAAGAAAATTCTCTGAAGAAACCATAGGTCTAAAATCAAACCCTAATTCGCGCCTCTCGACTTGAAAATTGTTTCCCTCTTCTTTCGCTAAAATTATTTTCTTTGTTTGAAATATATTATGTGAGACTAATAAAAATATTCAATTATCAAATAAGCAGTTGAACCCCAATTTGCATCTCCTCTGATTTGCGTTCTCTATAAAAAATAGTTCGAAAACTTTTTTTAATGAACAAAAATTTTGAGTGTAGAAAAAATATAAAGTGCAAAAGAACTACCTTACTAAACAATTTTATTCAGAAAATTCGATTTCTTTTTGGAAAAACCTATTTTTTCTAACATTTAGAGGCGCGGATTAGGATTTTATTTTAGATACATGGTTTCTTCGGAGAATTGTCTTAGAATTTTATGTAGTTTACGTTTTTCCTATAGGATTTAAAAAAAATAATCAACCCGCCCTAATGTACATACATGTGCACGTCGAAATATACATTCTGAATGTGGAAACGTTTAAATAATTTAAAATTGATGGAAATATTAATTCTTAGGTACTTAATTACTAATTATGTACATTGTTATCATGTTATTCTGAATAACATTTTTCCACTTCTCAACTGAAACAAATTCTTAAACGAACAAAAAAAAATAAAAAAACCAAAGTGTATAATAAAAAAATTACAAACGAGGAAACAAGTAAAATAAAAAATTGCAATCGCACACCTTAAAATTCACCATGACACTATTGTATATACTTATACTAAAAATTTTAAAATATTAAAATAGAAATAAAGTTAGTTGTAAGTGAAAACTTGACAAAAATTATTTCAAAATGTGAAACCAAAACCTAAAAAAAGACACACTCTACTAATGTTAACTGATGGCAATGGAATTTGGCAAAAAAACTTTAGGCAACCCCAAACTGAAAGCAAAGAAAAGACATGTAGCATTTGGTGCAATTAAACAAATATTTATGTAGATAAGAATATTAAGTATAGAATTGGAAATAGTAATTTAAGTAGCAAGTCACATATTTAATAGCATAAGTAACGCAAAAACATCTGAAACTAAAAAACGAAAAATCACAACTAACAATACTTGTCACAGAACCTGGAACAAAATGAAACCAAAAAATTAAAAAAAAAAAAGATTTGTGAACTAAACACATATTTTATTTTAAAGCGTGAAAAAATACATACATATATACAATACAGATCAATCACATAAGCGAGTCGAAAAATAAGATTTGAATCCTTGTAATAAAAAAAAGATCATCACCAACAGCATAAAAGTGAATAAATACTAAAAGTAAATGCGTAACTATAACTGCAAATGTTATTGGGCATTTATGATTGAAAAAAATTAAAATTAAAAAAATTCATATGTTTAAGCATTAGGGTATTGTTAAATGTTATTTTAGTTGAAATTAAAAAAGGAGTAATAATTTTTTAAGTTTGTTAATATTTTTTCGAAATGTAAAATATTTAAATATTAAGAAAACTGATGCAGTGACGAATAAATAAATGAAAAATATAAAAAAAAAAGATTTATTTCACTTATTTTCTGATAGGAAAATAAGATTACTTATAGAAACCGTACGGATTAGTGTTTTTTTCGCAGACAATGACGGCGCTGGGATTGACGGCGAGGTCGTTACGACACAAAGAAATGGTGCCCCTATCCACCGTGCAATGTAAGAAAGCGCTGCCTCATATTATTAAAAGCCCCATCGATATCGAGGAGGGCTTCCACCGTAAAATCTTTATGAGTGAATGCTTTTTTTATACCCCTCACAATTGCAGCATTTCCTACCGATCTTCCTTTACAATAAGCATGGTGAGCTTTTGACAGGCAATCTCGAGGAATCCCGCTGCTTATGTGTAGGTCAACCATCCTCTTCAACGTTTTCAGTTGCCGGCTTCGGGATGAACACCACCTTCACAACCCCCAAATATTACGCAGCTCGCGTGGATAGGGGCCAGCCTGCGGCGATGGTCATCCAGAATGTCCGAAAAGGCAACGCAATCTCCCCGCACATCCGTTAAGGTAATTTCCTCT